ACTCTCACGGCCTCCAGACACCGGGTCATCACGTCAAGGGCATCGTTGGGGTCGCCCGGGGTGGATATGTACAGCTGAGTGTCGTCAGCGTACTGATGGAAATCCACCCCAAAGCCACGAATGATCTCCCCCAGCGGCTTCACATAAATATTGAACAGAAGTGGAGAGAGGACCGACCCCTGTGGGACCCCACAAGCTAACTCACACTGATACAGGGAGAACCTGCAAAAACCTGCATTAAAGATTAATTCCTCTCTGTAATGTTCTGTATAGGCACTGCACTTATTAAGATGGACTCAAAGGTCCACTAAAGCACACAAAGTAACCTAAGAGGTGTATACAAACTCAATGCAGTCATGCTTAATGCTAAGTAGGGCTGGGCAATGTGATAATTGGGCAACAGAACTTCCAGATGGCTCCCTTAAGATCCACCAACTCCTTGCCTTGCTTAGAAGACACAATAAAAAATAGGAAGCTGGATACTGTAAAAGACCGAGTTGATATATTTAGTTGGAGTCCTGCTGTTGAACCTCACCGAAGTGCTCAATTTATCCTCTGGAAATTATTGGTTTGTGACTATTGTGTCCATCATTTTGTAATGTGGCTGGAGCTGTTTCCAAGATTTCTACAGCAGGCTCCCTTTTTGGTTCCATATGTTATTTTATGCTCTGTGTCTGCATTGAGACATTGGCTCGTGAGGACAATGTTTTCCAAATCTTGGCTGCATCTGTTAGTTGTATTATAATTGCTGAGGGTTGCTCATTTCTCCTGGGGTCTTATTTAAAATTTCTGCTCCAGTAATTCCAGCCACCCGTCTAAAAATGCCTGGGTGATGTAGAAGCCAAAATTGTCAGTACCCGAGGCTATGTAATTGCTGGCTATGACTCATAGAAACAGAATAATGTGAGAAATAAACACATCTGCTTTAACAAGAGTGTTCTTTTTTTTCCATTTTCATTGTGGATTTTAAAAGGCTGTGAATTTTCACATGGTGACGTCACATGGCTTGGACGTCCCCCAATTTTCTCAGAAGAATCACTTGACACCACTTCATGCATCTGAGTTTATTTTACTCGATTCATGCGTTGATACAAAAGTCTGTAGCAGTTTATAATTTGATCATGTCCACTCTCCCACCCACCCACTACCTTTATACAAACTGGTACTAAGATTTATAATATTTTGTGAGCCCACCCAACCTGCGAAAGGAATAGAATTCTGAATTATCACCAAAAGGGTTGATTGGCCCCAGATTCAAGACCAATCTATCCCTTCCCTGTTTTGATTGGAATCCTTTTAATTGTTGAGAACAAATCATGTCAAAAGAACCAAATGGGACATGTAATGAAATAAACAGCAGCATCTACAAAATTGTAATTAAACCTGTTGGTCAGGTTTTCACTCATAACTATATTTGATGAGCAGCTTAGAGCTCAGCCTTCTCTTAACTGGATGATATCCAGATGTGTTGGGCATTCAATAGTCATGTCTCTTGTCTTCAGGTGATGGGAATTGTAGCTGAGCACTTCTATGGAGACACCAATTTGGGAAGAGCGGATTTAGATAACAAACTGGATGCTGTTTTAGAATAATGGCACGATTTGTTTCTCATAGACAGGAAACTCATTGTCCACATATACCCAGGAAGAGAGAGGACTAAATGGCTAATGTATTCTGCTTTGGCCCCTCAACTTTGCACCATCAGAAGCACAATAAATTCTCGACAAAGCAGGAAATTAATTTACATCTTACACTTTGGTGGAGGGGGGGGAGGAAGGAATAAAAAAAAAGTCTCCCCTGTTCTTTCCCCATAAAAAAGCCTAAATTCTCCTCCCCAAATAGGGTATTAAAGCAAAGTTTTATCAGTTAGCATCCAAAACATTGCCCACCCCAATATGAAAACATCTATCGAGCAGCATGTCAAAGATATAGGTTATGTGATTTTCATTCAATAACTGATATGTGTAAACATAAAACCCCTTACAAACCAGCCTTTCCTTCAGTCTAGGTCCTTCTTTCCTTCCTCTCTTCCCATGGCACTCTAAACACCTCTTTCTTTACCTCTTCACCCAAATTCTACTTGTTACACACTTCAGTAATCTGCATTTTCTCTCTACTAAGACCGCCCTTGTAGCTATTTAAATGAATACGATCAAGGAGCACTTTTCCTTTAGCAGATAGATGGGAGGATAGCAACCAAAGTTGCCCGTCTAAATAATATTTTGGCCTCATATCTTCAGATTTAAGATTTAAGTCAACTAACAAGTCACCTTGTGTAAGAAATCTAGGATTTGGGGACTGACTTCCTGCTCCAGAGGAGGAATTGGTTATTCCATTCCCCTTCTTGGCAACAGAATAATTTCCCTTTAAATTTAGACAGGATTTGGCCTAGCAAAGCCCAGTTTACTGACAGTTGCTGGTTCTCATATTCTTCCATTGAGGTTGGTCTGTTCTGAACTCTAAACAGCCCTATATCTATAAAATTTAGATATATGTCTGTGTGAAATCTAAATTTCTTGAACTCATCCGATTCTTTCCTGACCCACCATCGCTACTGGTACCCACAACCCTGCATCCCCCTCAGATGAACCTCTTTCCATTCTGATTGACTCCAGATCGCCTCCTAGCAGCTCCATCAATTGCCTGTTCCCCAAATGGACCCATGTTTGAATGCTATGATCTTGTCTTAAATCTCACTCCCTAACACAGTCTTTCTCAAGCCTGGATACGTGGACTTCAAGTCCCAGAATTCCCCAGCCAGCTTGGCTGGCTGGGGAATTCTGGGAGTTGAAGTCCACATGTCAAAAGGTTGCCAGGCTTGAGAAATTCACTGCCCTAACACCTCTCTCTCTCTCTCTCTCTCTCTCTCTCTCTCTCTCTCTCTCTCCCCTTCCAAGATCCTGATTTCCCTCCCTGCCCCAAATATAAGCATATAAAAACATGCAGACAGAATACTTGCATTTCAACATCAAAATACAACAACTCTGGGCCTCACCCTGCCAGCCGTCCCCTTCAGCCTCCTAGAAATTAACGGTCCCCAAGGAGAAGGCTCCTTCTACCAAAACTGCCCTCCCACCTGCATCATGCATCCATCAAGGGAAAAGGCCATTTTGGTTTTCCTTGGTTTAATTGGGCAGGACGGTTGGCAGGGGGCCAGAGGCTTGTACATCGTGCAGATGGGATTAATAGTGGAAGGAGTTTCAGACCTTCCCCTTAAATAATGCCCCATGCTGTCTCCCAAGTATAAATTATAAAGGAGGCTGTCATGAGGCTGCCAGTGTCCCCCACCCACCCCACCCCGTCCCCTTTGTGTAACAGTCTGCAGGAAAATCAAAGCCAGGAGGGGGGAAAGAAAAGAAATAAAACTCACATTGTGCTGGGTGTAAATTTAGTGTCTGCTACACACAACTTCTTTGCTGGTGTC